TATAGCTTTGGTTTTGTTTGGTTATTGAGACAGGGTCTCATTTTATAGCTCAAGCTAATCTTGACCTTGTGATCCTCCTGCCTCAGCCTCCCAAGTGTTGGGCCAAATATGAGCCGACATGCCAGTCTGTCTTGTTCTTTCCTTGTTTATTTACTTATTTATATTCATGATCCTAGGATTGTACCTAGTAATTGTACATGCTAGGTAATCACTCTACTAGGGAGTCACATGCTCCCAGAAATACTGTTTTTTTTATCAGATTTAAAAAAAAATAGCAATCCAAATTCCTACTCCCTCCCCTCCTCCCATTCCCTCCACACACCCTCCTACCCCACCACCATCTAATCCTAAGAGAGGGTAAGGTACTTTGCTTTGTGGAAGGTCCAAGGCCCTCCCTACTATATCTAGGCTGAGCAAGGTATCCATCCAAAGAGAATAAGATCCCCAAAAGCCAGTACATGCAGTAGATATAAATCCCAGTGCCACTGCCAGTGGCCCCTCAGTCTGCCCCAGCCATACAACTGTCAACCACATTCAGAGGGACTAGCTTGGTCCTATGCTTGTTCCTTCCCAGTCCAGTTGGAGTTGGTGAGCTCCCATTAGCTCAGGTAAACGTTTCAGTGGATGAACCCTATTGTGGTTTTAAAGGAAAAATTTCCCTGATGACTGGTTCTCTTCAGGATTGTTTGTGTTTGTGTGTGTATATGGAGGCTAGAGGTCCACCTTGGGTTTCATTCCTCAAGAGCTGTGATAGGCTCTTTCATTGCTTGTCTAAAAATATTCCCCACTTCCAGCAGTTTAAGTGCTAAGTACCACAGTTCCTTGTACTAGGCTATAGTTAGTCCCTCCATCTGCATGCTGGGTCATGTATTTTCCCCCTTTTTACTATTAAAGGTCAGACCTGAAAGGTATTTTCTATCACTTTATCATGTTCTCTTCCTCACACTTTATTCCCATGGGTTCCAAGTTTTAGATTCCAGGAAGGGCTTTTGAACAAGGATCTATTTTGTACCTTAGTTTCCTTTCAGCCTCCAAGCCCTAAGAAATGTCAAGGCAGCGCCCCTATCTCGTTCTCTTATTTATCTGATTTACTTGCCATATTAGTGAGAGTCTGGCATGAAAGATGCTAACTGCATCTCCCTTTATTGCATTTTCTCCTTTATACAAAAAGTTCCTGGTTGGCTGCTGTCTCAGGCTCTGGGCATTTCTCACTACACACAGCAATTGTGAAGCAACCTCCTCCACTTCTTGCCAATGATCTCTACCCTGGTGCGCTGTCAGAGACTGCAGAATTTCTTCTAAACCCTTTAGCTGTTTTCAGGGTATCTCCATATTCATGTGGTAGATCCCACTCATCAGGCATACCACCTATACCATGTGGATAAACTGTCATCCTGGAATTCCCTTCACAGACACTCCGGGCCTGATGGCTCAGCTTAGTGGCATGTCTCATTACCTGTAGTAAGAATCACGCCATTGCTGCCATAACAAGAAGACACTATCACACAGTGCTATATTTGGAGATCTCCCCATCCATAGAGGTGTCTCAGCTTCAGTTACCTGACTTGCTATGCTGTATGTCCAGGACCATACACTGCTCTCCATTTCATCTTTTCTTCTGTTGTGTCCCTCTTTGGTGGCAGTTATGTTGTGTGACATTCTTTTTTGGGGGGAGGTGTGAACAAATGTCTTCACCCTAGATAGAGAACTGAAGACAGATCAGCTTGGTGAACCAATGAGCATTTTTTTGGGGGGGGGGAGTGGGGGTGGGAGGTTATTTGGAGGAATATGGGTGAAGTGTTGCCTATAGGAGCAGAAATGACTCAGAGATACCTGCATCACCAAAGACCCATCCAAGCATATGTGAAAGCTCACAAAAGCTGAAAACCTGGAGCACACTGCACAACTCAGAGGCAGCTCAACAGGTTGAAGAGCGTCCTCATGGGGGCTTGGTTGGTCTCAGCCTCTTCTATACAGCTGAGCTTATGAGTCTTCACTGAAGCTTGGCTGGTATCTACTTCTAAGCCTTCTATGTAGTTGGGCTGTTGGAAGAATCTTCTCAGCAGTCTTTACTGTTTATGTATTCTTGGGGAAATAGGGACCTAGTAAATGTAGTCAGTTTTAGGAATTTCCTGAAACTGTTGGGTTTACTTAATACGTTAATGAGCATCCTGTAGAATGGAGTATTTCACCTCATCTTAGAACAGCAGTTCTTAACGTGTAGGTTGTGACCCTTTTGGGGGGGGGGTCCCATATCAAATATCAGATGTTTACATTATGATTCGTAACTGCAGCAAAATTACAGCTATGAAGTAGCAATGAAATTGTATGGTTGGGGTCACCACAACACGAGGAACTGTGTTAAAGGGTTGCAGCATTAGGAAGGCCGAGAGTGCTGCCTTAGACCATCCTGCTGTTTCATTGCCCTACTCATATCCTATGCCAGAGGAAACTGTTCACCACCACAGTGAGCATCCCTACACCTGGCTGACTTTATGTAAATGCTGGGGGTTGAACTTAGGTCCCCAGGCTTGCAGGGCGAGCACTTTGTCATCTTTTTCTGGCCCCTCCGTAAGGTTTTTACTTTTGGTCCCTAAGAGGGCCCTTAAACCGTGTTTTTGCTGTGAGACTAAGCAGAATTTCTGGGCTCTTGAGAGCTTTTGGTGGACTAGAGCCAAGAGAGGAGACCCTGTGAGCTATTTCTTTGCAGAGTGCCACCTTGCCAAGGAGATACATGCTGCGGGAGCGACAAGGGAACCCGGAGGCTGCCTCCCGGTTACAGGTGAGAGATGCCAGGTCCCTGGCAGGGCAGCTATATTCAAAGGTATTCTGTTCTGTCGTTGCCCTGTTGCCCTTCAGACCCTCAGCACTTCTTCCAGAAACAAGTCCTCTCCCCTATGTAGCTTTGGGCCTAATCCTTGGGCTGTCACCACTTTGTGAGCTCTGGTAGGGAGGGCTCCTGCTCTTCCCTCAACTTCTGCTTGTTTGTACTCAGGAGACCCCAGACCCCTGGCAGAGCCTGGACCCTTTTGACTCCTTGGACTCTAAGGTCTTCCAGAAAGGTCAGTAGAATTGGTGGCATCTCATTTATGTTTTCCTGTCTAGGGCTACTGAGTTATAAGATGGTGGATTGGAGGGGACTTTGTATCCGCTTTCCTTGGCTACTCTTGAGGCAGTCTCTCTTTGCCTCCAGGTAAGCCCTTTTCTGTGCCGCCTGGTGTGGAGGAGCCTCCAGGACATAAGCGCAAGAGGAAGGGTGCCACCAAGCTGCAGGACTTCCACCAGTGGTACCTGGCTGCCTGTGAGTGAGTGTGTGCATTAAGGTGGCACATCCCTTTGCCTGGGTACTGTGTCCCTTTGGCCTGGTTCTTGCTAACTGCTCTCTCATAGATGCTGACCATGCTGATAGCAGGAGGCCTCGGCGGAAGGGCCCAACCTTTGCAGGTAAGGCTGGAGTCCTACCTCTTCGGGGAAGGTAGTCTTTATTTGCCTTCCCCAGTTCCACTGCCGTCCTCCCTGCCAGGGTCACTTGAAGTCCTGTGTGGACAAAGGTGAACTTGGTCTGGATGGGGAAGCCCCTCATAAGGCCTTTGTCTGCAGACATGGAAGTGCTGTACTGGAAACACGTAAGAGAACAGCTCGAGAGCATTCAGAAGCTGCAGAGACGGAAGGCAAGTACCCATAGTATTCAAGTCTGAGACTCCACGGGGCCTGGAAGATGAGTCTCCTCACAGATATTCTCTGGACAGGTGACCGAGAGATGGCTGCCCGGGGCCACCGAGGATCTGTGGCCTGTAGAGGAGGAACGCTTGGAAGATGCCCTAGAAGACCTTGGGGAAGCAGGTAGGTGCCATTTGATATGGGATGGGAGGGGTCCGTGCTCTCAGCACCTACTGCTGTCTGAGCAGCTGCCTCTGGTCACTTCTCCCATGTCTCAGCAGATGACTTTCTAGAGCCTGAGGACTATGCAGAGCGGGAGGAGGTGATGCCTGGGGAAGCTGCTGACCTAGGTAGGTCTTTAATGGGATACCTGAGATGTGCCGAGGGAGCAAGAGCTGCCTGAGATGAGGCTGTGCAGCCCCACAGCTGCAGCAGCTCATGGTTGGGCCTTTCTAGATGCAGAGGCCATGCCAGAGTCCCTGAGATATGAGGAGCTGGTCCGAAGAAATGTGGTAGGCCTGGGTCACGGGTGGGAGCAGTGGAGCGTCCTGGGCCCTTACGTGCAGGAAGAACCCACTGGTCCTTCCATAGGAACTCTTCATCGCCACCTCCCAGAAGTTTGTCCAGGAGACAGAGCTGAGCCAGCGCATCAGGGACTGGGAAGATTCTATCCAGCCCCTGCTCCAGGAGCAGGTGAGGATGCTGTTGGGAACTCCAGCCTTCTGTCACCAGCTTGGGGTTATCCTGAGCTGTCTCTCCACTTGAAGCTAACATGGCCTTTCCCTGTGTAGGAGCAGCACGTGCCCTTTGATATCCACACCTATGGAGACCAGTTGGTTTCACGTTTCCCCCAGCTCAATGAGTGGTGTCCCTTTGCAGAGCTTGTAGCGGGGCAGCCTGCTTTTGAGGTGTGCCGCTCCATGCTGGCCTCCTTACAACTGGTGAGTGGCCTGGGACACATGGGATGGGGAAACCCCCCTGGACTCTGCTGATGCCTCATCTTCACAGGCTAATGACTATACGGTGGAGATCACCCAGCAGCCAGGACTGGAGGCAGCTGTGGATACCATGTCTCTGAGACTGCTCACACACCAGCGAGCCCATACACGCTTCCAGACCTATGCTGCCCCCTCCATGGTCCAGCCTTGAGTGGAGAGCACTGAGGCGCCGGGGTGGAAGGTAGTGTATACCTGGAAATCTTGTGCCCCTAATGTACCATGGGGCCATTTACTCCAGTGCTGCCTCCAGGCTGGCCTAGCCTGTTAAGTGATATTGCTACCCCCTCCCTGTTCACTCAACAAGCCATTTAAATGGACTGCGGATAGAGAGCACCCACACGCTGACTAAGTACATTCATTTATTTACCGACAGGGCCTAGGTAGGATGTTCAGGGCAGGATGCTTTGGAAGGCAACTATGTGCTGACGAACACTGTCTACAATCTGCTCTGCTGACCTGCTTCGACCATAGTAGTCCGTGAAAAGACCATCTGGGTTGAGCAAGTAGATAGCAATGGAATGGTCCACAATATAGTCCTGGTCCTCATCCTTGGGACCAGCAGTGTAGTATACACGGTAGTTGCGACTAGCTTGGGCCACTTGTTCTTTCGAACCAGTCAAACCCAGCAGTCTTGGGTGGAAGTCCTTCACATACCGGGCCATGGCTGCCACATCATCCCGTTCTGGGTCCACGGTGATGAAGACAGGCTGCACCAGGGGCAGGTCAGGCTCTGCCTCCAGCTTCTGTACCACCTGGACCAGTTTTTCCAGCTCATCAGGGCAGATATCAGGGCAGTGAGTGAAGCCAAAGTACATCAGTACCCACTGGCCTCGAAAGTCAGCTTTACATCGCGGCTGGCCTTTGTGGTCCAGCAGGCTGAAGTCACCCTGGCCTACAGCAGCCTGGCGCAGGGCCTCTATCCGTTGCTGTTGGCGCCTCTGTTCCTTCTCAGCTTTTGCTGCCAGCCAGGCCCAGCCCAGCCCAGCTCCAAACACAGCAGTGATCAGCAGCCTGGTTCTTAGCCCAGGACCTTGGGGCTGGCCCTGCCCTGACCAGTGTCGGGACTGGGACTTTACATACAGAGTTTCACCTCCTGGGATCCGGAGAAGGACTCGAGGTTTGAACTGAGAGAGCCTGGGCCAGGCTTTGGGCCCTAGAACCGGTAGCACCATGGACCTGAAGCTCCTGAAAAAGAACAGAGATGCCAGCAGTTGGGAAAGAACAGACAAGGTGCCTGGGCCCCCGCTGCTGGAGAAACTTGTCACCCCATATCCACGCAGGTTAGCTGCCTGTCTGGGCTCATCTGAACGCAGAACCGCTCCACCTCAAGCCTTAAGCTTCAGCTTAGGCAACACCGATTGTCCATAGCTGGTTCACTCCTAGTTCTTTAACTAGGAGCCTCAGCCTCATTACCGCAGTCTGTCCATAACCTGCCCCTCAACCACGCTTCCTTCTGGATGCCTAGAAGCATTCAGAACATGCTTTGCCTGGGCACCACAACACGTGTCTATTTACAATAAATCTTTTTTTTTTTTTTAAGGAAGGATGTCGTTGATACTCTGGTTTACTACCTTAAAGGGGTAATCTTTTCTAGCCTCCGGTGATCTGGGGCTCAGCAGAAACCCATTGCCACTAGTGTCCCACAGAATAGCTCATTCGTGCTCAGAGCACCTTTGGCCCGTCTGTCTCTGAGGTCTCTGGCATCACCCGGAGAAGACGGGATTGATAAATATTCACAACATACCCCTTTTCTGAGCTGCGCCACTCGCACCTCACCCTCAAAGGACTGGACGAGGCAGTGGCAGCACCCTCAAGACAAACCACAGAGGTTGTTTCACCTTGTCCCACCCAGTCCCGCCCTGGAGGGTGGGAGGCTTGCTTAACTGCGGGACCCACGCACCTGCCTGCTGTGGGGTCGGATTTAGGGTTGAACGAAGGTCGGTGGGAGGACTAGCTCAGCGAAAGGTGAAGGGGCCTTGAAGGGTGCGCGGTCAGACAGCACGAGCGCCCCCTGCAGAGCGCGGCGCTGCTGGTCGCTGAGCGCTGGGCCGTCCAGGTGTACGCGGAGCCAGGGTGTACCTGCGCGAGCGACGAAAGCGGTTACCTAGGCCACACAGGGCGACCCGGACTGGAGGACTGCTTATGGGTCCCGAACGGCGCTCACCGCGGTACAGCCACTGACCCACGTCGACCAGCAGCTCGGCACCCACTCCCGGCCTGATTGGCTGTCCCGCTCGGCTGCGTCCGGCCCCGAGCTCGTGCAACACACGGGCCAGTGGCAACGCCAAGACGTTCTCCACGGTGCCTGGGGCGTGAGGGAGAGGCGGTCGCGGAGAAGCTAAGGGGCTGCAGGCGGATGCACGAGGACGGGACCAGGAAGGAAAAGACGCGGAGAGGAAGTGGGTGGGGCCTGGCGCCGGGGATATCCGGTCTCACCGTCCGCAGGGGCGAGCAGCTCCTCTTGCTCTCTCGCGTGAGGCAGCAGCTGGCGGCGTTGCGCGGGGCTCCCGGAGCACAGTGCTCTGGCTAGGCCTGGCTCCACGCCCTGTGCCGAAAGCATCAACTGGAAGCGACGCAGCGCAGAACCGTCATCCAACGCCGCGGCCATTCGGGCAACGCCCTTGTCTTGGGTTTCCTCCTGTCCGCTAAGCCAAAGGATGGCGCCCCCTGCTGGCGGGAGGGACGGAGCTCAGGAACCGCAGGGGTTGAGAGCGCCTGGCACATAGATAGGTGGTCTTAACCCCAGCTCTCTCACCTAGCCTAATGACCAGGTCCCGTAGGTCCGGCGGCCCCGCACCGTCCAGGCAAAGCAACGCTTCTTCCACTTCCAGGGTATGGCCCACGCTGCGGCCCAGAGGGCTATCCATGGCGGTGAGGGCTGCGGCGACCCGCAGCCCCAGGCCCACTCCCGCCCTAACCTGGGGAGGCACTACTCAGTGTCCAGTTGACATTACCTAATTCCATGCCTACTGCACCTGGGTTGGGATGTCAGGAAGGATTCGGGTGCAGATCAGAAAGCAACACTGCCAGGTGGTGGTGGGGTGGTCTCGTTCGCCCTAGTGGAGGGGCTCTGTGGAGGATTGCCCCAGTCCCAAGCTCAGGACAGCCTTGATTAGATACGGTAGGAGGGCTGGAAAGGGGGATTGCCAATTGTTTCTACTGGGATTGTTGAGTGGGCAGAGGCAGGGATACGATGGAAGGTGAGGTTCACATTCCTTCATAGAAAGGGCACGCCTTTAATTCCAGCACTCGGGAGGCAGAGGCAGGCGGATTTCTGTGAGTTTGAGGCTAGCCTGGTCTACAGAGCAAGTCCAGGACAGCCAGGGCTACATAGAGAAACCCTGTCTCGAAAAACAAAACAAAACAAAAAAGGCCATAGAGGCCCAGCATGGGCTCACCAATGTGTTTGCCAGCTCTCGGGCCTGCTCCTGGTCTGGGAAGACTGCTGCCCCCCCAAACTTAACATCCACCACCAGAGTGGACAGTCCTTCCACGACCTTCTTACTGAGGATTGAGGCTGTGGAGAACAGAAACATCATCCCAGGGTATGATACCTGGAGACGGAAGGTATTGCCTCTGTGATAAAGATGGCAGTGCCTAGTGGATTGTATGTCAGTCAGGGTACCCCATATCAGGTCACCTGTAATGAGTGGTACACTGTCCACAGTAGCTGTCACATCTCGTGCAGCGTACAGGATTCCATCAGCAGGGACCAGCTTCTCACTCTGGCCAACAATGCAGCATCCCACTTCCTCCAGTAAGCGCAATATCTGTTCAGACACCTGCAGTGACCTTGGAGGAAGGGCCCTCTCACTGGCCCTGGCCACGGACCCAGCGAAAGTTCAAAACATGGCCTAAGTGCCAATAATCTGATTCTGATGACTGACCTGATTTACTTATGACACATTAATGATTACCAGCCCATTGGTGTTTTCCACCTACTCCCAAGTAATAATCCAGATCAAAGTTCTCTTATGGCTCCGGCCGATCTACAATGGATGACCTTTAGAATAGTCAACACTCTCACTAGTGACCCGTATAAATAACCTATTCGTTGGTTGTCCCGTGATTCTGGCCAGCGATTCTCCCTCAACCCAGATCAGTGATAGATTAGTGGCCCACCTGTACCTGCTCTGGGCTCTGGGTGACATTGAACCCAGGAATGGACTCCAGCTTATCCAGTGTGCCCCCTGTGTGCCCCAGACCACGTCCGCTGATCATTGGCACCTGGTGGAGAGGATTACTGTCTGCCCCGGCACCACTCCCCTTATCCCCATTTTCTCGCTCCCCTAATGAGAACTTCAGCTGAAGTTATTTTAAGCAGTTGTAATATTTTCAGATATTTTAAACAGTTCATGTGGGTGCCCAATTGCTGGAAAGGAAAATAAATTATACTTGGCAGGGAGCAATTTGTCAGTAGAACAGGAACTGGCACTCATACATGTCTGGGACCCAAGTCCATGGGACAAGAGAAAGACCCAGCTCTTTCTCTGAGGGTGCTGTTAGGTACTGAGGCAGCTGTATTCCATGGTGGAACTGTATTCCACGGTCTGTATTGGGGAACAGGACAACTCTGGATTTTTTTTGTCTTTGAGAGCTTTGAGCCTGGCTTGAGGGTAGGAGGTGCCTGTGAGTGAGTGGGTCAGAGATTCGTGGAGATAGCAGTTACTAACCTTGCAGCCACACGCAGCCAGGGCAGGTGCCAGAACCAGGCTGACCTTGTCACCCACACCTCCCGTGGAGTGTTTATCCACAAGCTGCTGGTGCCAGGCCTTGGGCCACTCCAGTTGCTGCCCAGAGTCTGCCAGGGCCTGTGTCAGCACAGATGTCTCCTCTGGGTCCATGCCCCGCAGCCGAATGGCCATCAGCATAGCCCCTATGTGTGGACATATGAGTGGGGTGTTCACAGAGCATGGGTTTTCTGGGGCCTGGGATGGTGAGGAGGTACTGTGGATCCCTGAGGTGCGTATGGGGAAGTTAGGGGTCAAGGTCCAATTAGGGCTTGCCACACACCAATTTGTGTGTCCTGTGCGCTTCCATCCATCACTGCTTGCACGAAATCCCTTATATCTGCCTCACTCAGATGCCCTCCATCTCGTTTGAGGCGGATCAGCTCAGGCAGCTTCTTTGGTTCCCTCCCCCCTCCCTCTGAGACGGCACCAGCTGCCTCTGGGGTTGAGGGAGGTGGTGTCCCCGGAGCTGCCATTGCTTCAGCCTGTAGAGGATATTGAGACACCGCTGGAACCCGCCTCCCCGGCCATATCCCTGAAGCCACCATGGTCCCTTGTCCCCCAGCCTTGCTCCTAAATGTGTTTCTGGTGCCCATCACTGACCCATGTCTTCCTCAGCACCCAGTACCTTTCACCCCCAAGTCTGGCTTCCTTTTCTCGATCTCACAACTTGACCCCAGTCCAGTACCTAGTCAGCTTAGGGGCCTTTACCAGTTTTCTGGCTCTGGCCGGGTTCCGACCTGGTATGCCTCAGCCCGTCGTGGAGTTAGGTGCAGAACAGACTAGCCAATGAAAGACGTAGTTCAGGAACAGCCGGCAGACGGGGCGGTCCCAGGAGGTGGCACTGGTCAGGCCAATCGCCACTTCAGCTGCTCCCTACCTGCTACCTTATGGCCAATTGGAGATGTTTCCGGGACCCTAAGGGCCAGGAGGATATGGTACTCTCTGGACTGGCGTCTGCTCTGCCCAGTTCTCTGGGGTCTTGATATCTATGGGTCCGGGCACTGCTGTCTGTCCGACTAGTCTCTGGGTTCAGACACTCCCAAACTTCAGACGCCACTAGGACTATCGACGCTCGCGCTCATCTGCCCCACCCCTCACCCGCCGAACCACGCATAAAGAGAAGCACACACACAGCGCCGGCTTGAAAAGCTTTAAGAAAACAACCGAGGGCCGATGCGCGCCTGCTAGAGTCAGTCTTCCACGTGGTACGGTATCATGGGGGCCAGGTAGTCTGAGTGCCTGATCCCGAAGCTCCAGCCACGAGGCTTCCGGTGCTGTGGGCCAGGAGATGCTGCTGACTTTACCAAGCCAGCTGTTCGGCTTCATACAGGAACGCCTGTTCCCCAGGGACCCTGTCCTCAGACCCTCACCCCCTGCCCCGTGACCCTGGACTCCAGACCACCTCGTCCACGCTGTAGGTTGCGGGTCCTGGCTTCTGAGTGCTCTCTTGGGGTAGCGAAGTCCGTGCCAGCATCGTGAACTGCGGGGCTCGAGTCTTGTAGACCCCTGGGTTCACAACGTGGTAGGCACAGGGGCCTGGGGTCTAGGACAGGAGCAGGATGTTGAGTCTAGCCTCAATTCCTTGTGGACTACTAATCCTGTTTTTCCCTCCCTCAGGCTAGACTTTCACTATGTACCCCAGGCTGACTTTGAACCCACAATCTTCCTGCCTCAGTTTCCTAAGTGGTAGAATGCCAGGTGTTTTTCACCACCCCCAGTTCTACTGACTCTCTTGATTACTAGAGACGTTCAGCTAGCTGGCAGCTCTTCCCCCCACCTTGCTGAGGTCCTCGAAGCAGCTGCCCACAGCGCTGCGGCCATAGATGGAGTAGGTTGGGGCTGAGACTTTGCCTATGACACGAGGACCCAAGAGCGAAGGCACAGTGTAGGACCCAGGGCCTAGGGAGGAGCCAACAAGAGGTTATGTTGGGCCAATCGCCTTGTCTTTATGGCAGACTGCCGGTTGGGGTGTGGGAAGGTCCCTAGTGCTGGATACAGCCCTCTGGCCTCACCTGGGGTTTGCTGCTTCGAGAGGATGCCCCAGTTTCGGGAAGCGATGGTATGCCGGGGGGCACTGGGGTACGTTGCGTTTCCCGCGCGTTCTGGGAAGTATCTGCCTATGGAATGGATCAAGAGTGTGGGCCAGAACTGGGGCGGGCTGGGGGTGAGGTATGGGGAGCCTAGCCTGGGGTCTTGGCACTTGAGAGAAATTGGAGCCACATTGAGGTTCGGGTTTCTGGGTATAGGTAGAAGGTTCCCGGGATTCTGGGTTTGGGTGGGGAGTTTCCCAGTGGGCTTTCTTAGAGGCAGTTCCACGTTGGGGAGACCCGTGCCCCAGGGTGCTGACCCGGTCCCGGAGTGAGGACGGGCGCTGTGTGGCGTAGGCGACCATAGATGGAGAAGGCTGGAGTGCCATCGGTTCCGCGCACCGTCATGCGGGCGGGCACCAGGTGGCTCGGCCCGGGCCCGCAGGTTGTGTGTTGCAAGGGCAGGCGCGAGCCGAAGGTGAAGGCGGGGGCGCGCGGCCGAGATGGGTCGTGCAGAATGTAACCTGCGGGAGCATCCCCGCGTCACCTTCCGCAGCGCCCTGCTGCTGCCAGCTTTGCTCCTTTCCCTCCCCCACTTCACCAAGGCACAGAACCCATAATCTTTTTGCCTCCCTTTCTGCTCCGGGGCAGAGTCCTCCGGTTCTTGGATTCCTGGCACCAGTGTAGACCGCCCACAGTCCCACCTTCCCTACTTCCTCCCGGGTATCCGCCCTTGCTACCGGTGTTCGGTGGCAGCTTGTATTTGGGCCCCGGGCCTCTGTGGAGTGCCGCGATGGGGCCGCGGGGCCGATGTGGCCGCCAAGTGCCGACCCAGACCTCTGAGCTCATGGCGCAGGCGGGGCCGCTTAGGGCTTGCAGCACCTGTGGACAGAATTCGGAGGAGACGCGCTTCCCTAGCTCCACTCCGGGCCAGCACGACCGATCGACCGCAAGGCCGAACACGTATCCCATGACACCGGGAAAACAAACAGTAGTTTCCTAGGCTGGGAGGCGGGGTGCACTGGGGCAGGAACGAGCTTCAAAGTCATCTCTGGCCTCCTATCCCAGGGCCTTCAGTACCAGTGTTTGACTACCTACAGGCCAAGTTTGGACCCAGACATTGGAAAGAGAATGATCTGGAGTTTCTGGGTGGGAGAGGGGTTTTAGAGGTGTTGGGAAAGGATGTCCTGGGGAGGGGTCTTGTAGGGGCACCGGATGCTCCGAGGGAAGGTCTGGAGATGCACTAACCTGCTACGGTGGTTACCCTCTTGAGAAAGCAAAGCCGGGCAGTTTGACAAACTCTCATCAAACTCTCAGACCCATTATGTCCCGTCTTGCTTCCTGGCAACCAGATCAAGTGCCTGGCCCCACCCTCCGGGGCCTTCAGCCCTATCATCTCCTGCCACTGCTGAGACTGTGCTGGATGGACATTAGGCCGGGCCGCGGGCCAGCACACCCATTCCAGAATTAGATAAATCTGCGGACAAAAACAAGTTTAGAAAAAAAAAAAAAACAAGCCCCCCCCAAGTTTAAGAAAAAAGGAATAATATAGAAAGTTCAATTTATTTATGTATTTATGTAAGCCCACGAAATATTTGCAAAACCTAATGTTTTGGCCAGAAAATAATACCAGTTGAATAGAGAGGCGGCAATGTATGATTAAATCACACTCCAATACAAATTCTCAGTGAACAATTTTTTAAGTAAAAAAAAAAAATTAAAAACTTTGGGATCAAAAGTAAACTCAAACCTCGAGTTATAATTGATATAAAATACTTGAGATGAAAACTGTATAGGCTACAGCTAAAGTTGTATTCAGAGAAAAAAAATTATAGCCCTAAGATAACCTCAATGTTAATAAAAATTTTAATGTTTAATGACATTTAAAATTCATTTTACAAGTGGGGGAGAACCCCAAAACCAAACCAAACAATAGCAAAAAAAAAAAAAAAAGAAAAGGAAAGAAAAAAGAAAGAAAAGAAAAGAAATCAGTGGTGGAGTAAGCCTGTAGTTCCAACCCTCAGAGCTGGAGCAGGAAGGTTTCAAGTTCAAGGTCAGCCTGGGATACATAAAGAGATCATGTCTCAATTAAAATAAAATGCAACAAAAAGATACTAACAAAATTATAGGCAAAATTATAAAATATCTATTTGTAAAAAAATGACAATGGAGGGAGCTTGGTAAAGGCAAAAATAATAGCCAACAAAATTAGACACCAGGCCAGGTGTGATGGGGCATACCTGAAATTCCAGCACGTGGGATGTGATGGCAGGTTGGCTCTCTGAGTCTGTCTGATAAATCCCTAGGGTCTTATGTATAGATTCTGCAAATTGAGGGTTCTTTGTCTTTTCCTATTTGTGTCCACTTTTACTCCTTTTGTTTTATTGCTGTGGCTAAGACTTCAAGGAATATGTTGAATAAAAGTGGAGGAAGCAATCATTTTGTCTTGTTCCTGGTTTTCGTGGAATACTTTTATGTCTTTTCTCCTTGGTATGATGTTGGCTGTATGTTTGTCATATATAGTCTTTTTGTGTTAAAATATGTCTGTTTTGTTCCTAGTTTCCTAGGGTATTTTATCAAAAAAGGATATTGGATTTTGCCAAAAGCCTTTCTGCATCTGTTGAGACAGTCATGTGATTTCTGTCTTTTAGGCCAGTTATGTTTGTATTACATTAATTGACTTACATATGTCGCTGAGCCATCCCTCCAGCTTATTGTTTTTTGAGACAGGGTTTCTCTGTGTAACAGTCCTGACTGTTCTGGAACTCACTCTGTAGACCAGGCTGGCCTTGAACTGGCTGAGATCTGCCTCCCTCTAACTCCCAAGTGCTGGGATTAAAGATGTGAGTCACCACCGGCAACTGTATTTTACATTTCTATTTTATTAGTTTTTGTTATGGTAGATCTTGATTCTCTCTCTCTCTTTCTCTCCCCCCTCCCTCCTTCTCTCCTTCCCTCCCTCCTTTCTTCCTTCCTTCCTTTCTTCCTTACAGGGTCTTACTACATAGCTCTAGCTGTCCTGGAACTCACGACCTAGATCAGACTGGCCAAAAATGCCCAAGATATCTCCTTACCTCTCCTTCCTGAGCCCCCTAAGTGACCCTCATTCTTTGTGGTTTGCATTGATTTCTGCATTTACTTTCCCTCGGTGACTTCCCTTACCCTTTAACTGCCCCAGATCTTCAGAAGCTGTGCGGAGCTGACAAGGTACTGGCTAGCCCATAAAGAGGCATTGGGAAAGTGGCAGCTCTATCTGTCGAAGGTCCAGGATCTCAAACTTAACCACAAATCAAACTGAACTATCGAGCCTGAGTCTGGGACAGGGAATAATGGCAAGAAAGGCCTCTGCCAGTCGAAGTCCACCTTAAGGTGTAAGGCTCACCCCAACCTCTCACTGTTACTTAATAGTTCTATGGGAAGCTGGGATGGGACCAGGCCAGATGAGATATTTGAGGCTCAGCAGAGCCCAGGCTAGGTGCCAGGGACACTCTTGCCACCTCCTCGATGCCTGAATCAAGGAATGGTTGGGTCCATTGTGTTCCAGAGAAAGAAAAGGTCCACTTCCTATTGGAGGAGGGAGCTACCTTTATTGTGGGGACTCCAGTCTCTTTTTCTATGTGTCTGGGTCTTCCTGGTAAATGTTAAGACTCATTCCTGAGATAGATTCCAGTGATGAGCAGACTGAGAAGTCCCCTCCCAAAAATACCGAGTGCTATGCCTAGTGGAGTATCCACATGGCAGCCCCTGAGAACCAAACTGGGCCAAGAGGTGGGATGAGTGTGCTTTGGTTCAGATAGGAACGGCTTGGGAGTGAGAGGAGTCCTAGGGACTGGGCTGGTGGGGCACCGGGGCAGAGAGGGTTTCTGAAGGATCTAGCTACAGTTTAATGAAGTGACTGCAGGAGAGGCAGGCTATGCCCTGAGCTTTTCTGAGGGACCCCGGGGCAGTCCCTGAACAGGGTAGTAAAAGGAGCCAGGAGGCTCCAGATTTAGGTTAGGGTGGAATAAGACTGGCCACAGAGAGGGAGATATAAAGTTTAGGTTTTCTTCCTTCTTTCTCACTTTTATTTTTCCCCTTGACTGGGACTTTATCTCTTTATTGGTGCAATGTTTGGTAGCTGATGGAGGAGGGAGGATGAGACCTGCACTTGTCTCACACCCAGAAGGGAACTCTTACAACCCTCATCCCAGGCTCTCCGTTTTCAGCCTGAAAACCCACCAAAAACAACGGCCCCCCCGCAACACCTTTCCCTGGTGGCCATGGTGGAATTGGCCTCTCCGGTTTCTGGTAATTTCATCGGGGCAGCATCATGTTGCTGAGCCCTGAGATAGCATCTCCCTGTGTGGTAACCCTTCCCTGTCAGAACTCTTACATAGCTTAAAGGGTGTAGGACGACGAATGGGGGAGGGGTACGAGGGTCTTTAAGGCAGAAGATAGTTGGGTGAAAGGTTGGTAGGGTGCCCAGGAATACTTTCATTTGCCCCTAGGACCCTGAGCAAAGAAGGAGGGGAAGGGGCAGAACTGGGGTACACAGCCAAGGGCAGGCTGCTGTAGGCCATGGGATTTCCTGATAACGGCCAGTTCGGTTTACTGACAAGCCTGCAAACCTGATTGCCCGTAGGTATCCGTCGAGGGCCCAGAGAGTCAGTCCACCTTAATGGGGCTGTCTCTAGGTGAGATGCCTCCAGTGTCATCTGCCCAGCCCTGCAGCGCAGGTTGGGTGTGGGGCATGCATAGCTGTCAGCCAGACAGGCTCTTCACAGCACATCTGCGGTCTGCACCATGCTCCAGGGTGCTGGAGAGGTCAGTGGGCCCCTCTGGGGCTGGGATGGTGACGGAGAGGACGACTGGGATGGGGCTGTACTCACCTTGCTGGCACTAGCTGTGGTAGCCACCATAGCACTGACTTTGCAGTGGTTTGGCTCCAGGCAGGACCAGGAGGCAGACAGATCAGCGCCCATACCTCTGGGTGTGCAACGGGTTCAGGCTGAAGGACACAAGTTGGCCCTGCACCCGAAGTCCAAGGACAGTGATGCCAGTGAGGGGCAGAACAAAGGACAGGAGAAATCAGAGGCTCCCGGAGACGGCCAGAGAAGACCAGCTATAGCGAGGGCCCAGGACCCAGAGCCATCACGAGGCAGAAGTGCGGAATCGGATGCTTGGCTTTCACTCAAGACACCTGGAGAGGTGGCCAGCAGAGGGATCACCCCAGCAGCCACGGGAAAGAAAAGAAGGGAGCCACCCAAACCAGAAACTTTCTTCCAGGGCCACAGCAAAGCAAGGGATATTCCTGTCCCCATCACGATTCACTTTACTCCTCGAAGTCTTGATAGCAAAACAGAGATGCAAGTGGCGGCAGCTGGCACCCTTAGTAAGGGGGCAGCTCAACAGGGCCTCGTCCATACAGAGCAACAGGACACCAGCCCGTGGCACCTGGCTGTGGGGACTCCTGGGCCCCTGGGGAGAAGCCTAGGCAGCTTGCGCAGGCGTCGGCGGCCTGGTGCCAGATCAGGAGACCGACCCTGCCGTCCTCTAAAGCTGGACCCCCTCCGCCTGGGCACTGTGGTGAGTGTGTGGGATGCTGTGGATTTGGCAACTGCGGCCACTCAGGACATCTCCACCAGCAGTTCCCTTGCAGGTCCCTCACCGCACCACTCAGACAGGGGGCTTAAGGGTCCTGAGGAGATGGTCCTCGCTGATGCTATGGGGAACCGACCTCGGGTGGACTCCGGGGACATGTGTGGGAGGAGCGGCGTTCAGCTTGCTCCCGCCAGCATTGCAGGCTCAGGGGCTAAGGACAGGGAGAACAGGGAGCCTGGGTCCCCTGCCCCTCGGGAGACTCAGGGGATCCTGACTGGTGAGGAAGCCTGGTCCCGGGAGAGCGGGGAAGCTGTTGTTATCAGCAACTTCACGTCCTCCCAAGGCCCCTTGCCGGAAGAGCTGCACCCTGAGGCTTGTGAAGAGGACCAAGTTGCTGACCAGAGCAAGATGGAGAAATTAGGAGAGGGTCACTTCATTAGCCAAGGGAGAGGCTCCCGTCAGGGCAAGGAAAGTGAGCAGATAGCTGGAGGTCCAGCTGCTGGCCAGAGGGCTGTGCTTATGCCGGACAAGACAAAGTCCACTGGTGGCTTCAGCTGCACCCCCTCCCACAATCTTCCAGCCTCTCCTCTGACCCGGAATACAGAGCTGGTTCCATCCTCTGTCACGGCAGTACGTTCCAGCCCTGGGTTTCCACACGCAGTCTCTACCCTTGCTCCTTTAAACAATTTGTCTCTGGAGGTTAACCAGGGTCCTTCTGGTGGTGAAAATCTCAAAGCGGGATCAGCCTCCCTTCCAACTCAGACTTTAGCCTCAGCAGGAGCCCCAGCTTCAGCCCCAGAAGCAATCCTAGCACCATCCTCAATATCATCCCCAACCTTAACCTCAGCCCCAGTTAAAGCCTTAAGCTCAATTTCAACACCAACCCCATCTCTAACTCCAGTCACAGCCTTAACCCTAATTTCAACACCAACCCCATCCCCAACATCACCACCAACCCCAGCCTCTGCCCTAGTTGTAGCTCAGGTTCCTGCAGTCGACAGTGAACCAAGACCTACGTCTCGGGAGTCAAGTGTGGGCCTCTCCAAGCGCTCCCTGGAGGGCCGAATCTCAGCTAGCTGGGGAAACCTTATTACCATGGTTCTTAGAAGTCACCCCTTCCCTAGGCAAGAAAAGGCTGATGGTAGTACCCCGAGGGTAGATCTTCAAACTACTGCTCAGCCCAGCACATCCGCATACTTGGGCGGTAGACAGTTAGGTACCTCCTCTGCAGGGGCGATCTCCAGCCTCCAGGACAAACACAGACCACCGTCAATCTTAGTCACACCAGTAGGTCCAGCGGGCCAAGCTGAGGGTAGATGTGAAACGCAGCCGATGAGCGTGGATGCTAGTGAGTCTTCCACTCGGGACCCCAGAGCAGATGAAACCAAGGAGAAAAGTCAAGAATCTCTGGTCCCAGATGTGAAGCCTGAAGCTGTCCCAGAGTTCCCTGCGCCGGCACAGCCTGGTCTTGTCCCATCTACTATGAATCAGGAAGCTCAGCCCATCCCTCAGCCTCGGCAACGGAGAAAACGTAGCTTAGCTCAGAGCTCTGAACAGATACTTACTCAGGAAGTATCCCAGAAGCCCCGGGGGCAGGTGCTAAAGGAGGGAACCAGACCTTCAGGCAGCAGGGACGTCCTCACAGAGAAACAGAAAGAGACACAAAAGCTTATGATTTTTCTGCAGAAGCCTGGCAGCTGGGGAGTGGTGGAGGGGCCTCAGAAGTCCCGCTCACAGGGCTCGCAGCCTACCAGAGCAACGGCGCTGTGGCCGCCAAAGCTAGATCTAGGGAGCTGCTTGGAGGTTCTGGCCTTTGCCCAGCAGCGTGGAGAGCTGGGCTTAGCCCAGGACACCTATGTTTTAATGAGCAACAACTTGCTGCATGTCCTGGGAGACCCACACCTCTACCGACAGCTGAGTGGCGCCGATAGGGAGCGCATCCTGAACCTGCGGACCTGCCAGGGCCAGACAGTGCTGGGAGTCCTCGAGCTGCCCAGCCTTTATCAGGTGAGCCGCTCAGGGCTCACAAGGGGCCCTCATGGTGAGGACGCGCCTGCAACCAGGCCTGAGCATTTGCATCTTCATACATACCTGCATGTGTTCAACCCACAAGAGAATGTGTGGCGGCCCCTGATTCAAGTACCAGAGGAGGTCCCACTCCGGGGATGTGGGCTGTGCACTATGCATAACTATCTGTTTCTGGCAGGTGGCATCAGAGGTTCTGGTGCCAAGGCTGTCTGCTCTAACAAGGTGTTCTGCTACAACCCTCTGACCAACATTTGGAGCCAGGTTCGGCCCATGCAGCAAGCCCGGGCCCAGCTCAAATTGGTGGCTCTGGATGGGATGCTTTACGCTATTGGTGGTGAGTGCCTATACAGCATGGAGCGCTATGACCCGCGCACAGATACCTGGACCTTGAGAGCATCCCTCCCCGAAGGCACCTTCCCTGTGGCCCATGAGGCTGTGGTCTGCCGAGGAGAAATCTATGTCACGGGGGGTCATCTCTTCTACCGCCTGCTCAGATACAGCCCAGTGAAAGACTCATGGGATGAGTGCCCCTATAGTGCCAGCCACCGACGCTCCAGTGATATGGTGGCACTAGGCGGCTTCCTATACCGCTTTGACTTGTTGCGGGGCGTAGGCGCTGCGGTGATGCGCTACAACACAGTGACAGGCTCCTGGAGCCGAGCTGCCTCCCTGCCCCTGCCTGACCCTGCCCCGCTCCATTGCACAGTATTGGGCAACACCATTTACTGTCTCAACCACCAGGTCACGGCTACCTTCACAGTTTCGGAGGGGACTGCCCAGTTCCAGGCCAAGGAGCTGCAGCCCTTTCCCCTGGGAAGTAAGGGGGTCCTCTATCCATTCACTCTGACTTTGCCCCCCAAGACCTGGTTACAGACCACAATCTAAGTTCTGGGTGAAAAAACAGAACTGCGTGTCTGCTCTCAAGAGAAACCCTTCTCTGGGTGGGTCTGAGTGGACCCGGGGTGTGGGGAAGAAACCTGGAGCAGAACCTTCTGTTTTGTGTCCAAAGCTCTCTGTCAAGTTAAGGGTTGCTAATTATCTGAAATGAATCTCTTCTATGCGCCCTCCCCTGCCAACCCTGGTTCTCTAGGTCCCTTCTTGGCTCCCCCTATACCCTGGTGGTTTGGGTCCCAGGGCCGACCTGCTTAGGATGTCTTGACTTCATCACAACCCTGTCTGTGGGATTCTTTGGTACTTGTTGGAAACCTCTTTGAACTTCCTGTGTTCTCCCAAGATGGAAAATGAAACAAAGTTTCTCAGGAAACATCCTCACTCTGGGATTTTTGCTATCTTGAGGTCCTTTAGGAGTGAGTCTGGGTCTGACTGGGCGGTGGGGCACACACCTTTACTCCCTGCACTTGGGAGGCAGAGGCAGGCGGATCTCTGTGAGTTCTAGGCCATCCTGGTCTACAGAACAAGTTCCAGGACAGCCAAAACTACACAGAGAAACCTATCTCACAACAAACAAACAAACAAAAAACCCAAACCAAAACAAAGCAAAAAACAAAAACAAACAAGAGAGTCTGGGTCTGAATGGCACTTCAATATCTTATTCCTTGATTGGATAATCACTTTGCTACCCACAGTCCCAGCCCAGACTGGGTCAGGATGGTTTGGCACCTTGTGAGCCTCTCTCAAACTCTCTGGGACCCAACACCACTTCTTTCAAGCTCTTTCTAGATGAGCCCTGCACTTACTCTAGTTAAACCTGCTGTTAGCTGTGTAAAGCAGGAGAGGCAGTTAATACTCCTCTGAACACCTGCCATCCAGGAGGTCTGTGGGGACAGGAGCGCCAGTGGCCATCTGGCCCGGTGTCTGAGGCTAACTACTGAAGCCCACGTTAGGCAGGTAGATAAATCTGAGTACTCTTTCTTTTTCTTCTTCTTCTTCTTCTTCTTCTTCTTCTTCTTCTTCTTCTTCTT